ATTCCACTACCTTGGAACGAAAAATCTGCAGTATCCCTAAATAATATGAGTACAAAGCAAACTGGGCGACCCAAAAAAGGTAGGAAGTTAAAATTTGGAGAATTCAATAGAAGTGAAAGGAAACAAAGGAAATACACAAATCAGTCCTATGTCAACACAAAAGGAAAACAAATATCCCCAAAAGTGTTTAGCGACTATGATTGTCAGTGTCAACAGAAATGCAATGAACAAGTTTCACGGAATTTAAGAGAAATTGCATTTAATTCGTTTTACGAGCTAGGCAGTTACAATGCCCAAACGATGTTTATACTTGCTAACGTTAAGCAGGTGCCAAAAAAGAGATCGTATAGAGTAGTAACGACTGGCTCTTCGAATACCACTTCCAATAAACAGAAACAGTTCTCAAGAATTTATAGCTTATCGGGAATAAAAGTATGCCGAGAAATGTTTATAAAAACATTAGGCATTAGTCCCCAAAGGGTAACTGTATGTTTAAAGAAAGCTAGGTCTCATTCACTGGTAGACCTTAGAGGAAAAAACCAAGGAGGTTGGAATACATTGCTACTAGAAGATAAACAAATCATAATGGACCATATAAACAGTATTCCACGATATCAATCATATTATAGAAGAGCAAGTTGTTCTGATGCTATGTTCCTCCAGAATAATATGACTATAAAAAAACTATATGAACTGTACAACGAATTACTGACGCAAAAATTTCCTAACAGAAAAGCTGTTTCTTTTGCAACCTATAAAAAGATCTACCTAAAAAACTTTAATTTAAAGACAAAGCCATTGCACAAATACCTAAATGCCTAAAATGTGATACAATTCAAATTAAATTAATAAACGCTATGACAGAAGATCAACAAAAATGCATTACTGACCAACAAAATAATCATGTGAAACTTTGGAAAGACTTACGGCAACGAATGAAGCAGGATATAGCACACAGTAAGTTATTACCTGAACAAGAATGTATAACTTTTGATATGCAGCAAACTCTACCCCTACCTAGAATACCCACAAATATTGTTTTCTATAAGAGACAACTGTGGGTTTATAATACTGGTATTCACTCTGGATCAGATGATAAGAGTTACTGCTATGTTTGGGTTGAAGGAGAAACAGGTAAAGGTGCCCAAAAAACAGGTAGCTGTTTCATGTATCATCTAAAAAAATTTCTAAAATCTGGCGTAAAGAATCTAATACTTTGGAGTGATTCCTGTGGCGGACAGAACAGGAATATAAAGATAGTTCTATTACTTAAAGTACTTTTGGCAAATCACGCCACACTACAAACAATATCTCATAGATTTTTGGAGCCAGGCCACACTTACCTACCAAATGATACAGATTTTGGGAAAATAGAGACTGCTTTAAAAAGTCAACAGAAAATATACACACCAGATGAATATATAGATGTTATGAGGTCATGTAAGAAAAAAAATCCTTTAACCGTGACCCGAATGAAGACAGTGGATTTCTATAGTACAGCAAAGTTAGAAAAACTCATTGTTAATAGGAAAAAAGGGACAGCAGGAGAAAAAATCAACTGGTTAAGAACTAAAGAAATATTGCTGAAGAAGGAAAACCCATATTCCATATACATGAGAAGTACATTTGACGAGGACTTAATTGAAGTAGACATTAAAAGGAAACCACTTCGTGGCAAACCTACTGTAGAAGCTTTTGAAGATAATCTCTTGCCTCTGTGGCCAAATGGCAAGGAGATTACAGCTGCTAAACTTGCTGATCTACAGGCTATGTTAGATCTTATTCCAAAAGATTGCCATTACATATATACAAACTTAGTGGGAAACGCATCACTCGAAGATGATATTGATGGGTATGCAGGAGAGCCAGATTATGAAATGGAAGATGATGAAAGTTAAAAACAACTTATTAGTTTTATTCTGTAGAATAAATACTTTTAGTTATTCACCTGTTATTTTTTTGGAATAAATAAATAAAGAAATATTGTATTTTTTTTGTCAAAATGTGGTGTTTAATAGGTATATTTTATTTCGCGTAAAATTTTATTTGATCATGGATTATTTCTGCAAAAGTCAAATTTCCATTTTTGACTTTATTTTTTAATTTTGCAATAGTGATCCAGTTAATTTATATTTTTTTTCTCTTAAATAATGGACCTTTTAGATATGCTATAGTGACAAAAAAGCGTGGATTACATCTTTGGTGTAATGGGCCCGTTCACTTTCATTTTTGAATGTGAATTGATTATATATTTATAAAGATATTAAACTCTTTTGTCTGGTGGTACTTTTCCCGTAAAGATATTTTTGCTAGAAGTAAGGGAATTCCCATAAAATTCTTTCAGTGACTCATTGCGTCAGAAAATCCCTAATTCCGTTCACGTCTCGTATCGGTTATGCTGAAAGACGGCGAGGTTGTCGGAAGTATCCCTAATATAGCATTTCTGCATTTATATGTAATTTAAATAGTAAAATTTAATTATTTTTCTAAAAATCATGAACTTATATTTTCAGATTTAAAGCTGGGAGCTTATTTTTAACTTTTTAATTAAAACAATTATTATTACTCAGGCTGAAAATTAACCAGACCATAATCAAAAAGTAGAAATTTGATTTGCAATATTTATCTGGTAAACGTGGCAACGTTGCATTTATTTCTAGAAGTGTGTGTAGACAACACTATTTAGAAGTACTTACAACGTTGTCACGTTTACCAGATACATTTTCTCAAATAAAATTTCGATCTGGTAATATTCAGCTTGAGTAATACTAATTGTTTTTATTAAAATTTAAAAAAGGTAAGCCTTCCAGCTTTATCTGAAAATATAAACACATTATTTTTAAAAAATAATATTTTTTTATCATTTAAATTTCTTTAATAAATGCAGAAGAGGAATGGTGGTGCAATGATACATCCGACAACCGCGCCCTTTTAACTATTAACCGATACAAGACCTGAAGGGAATTAGGGGTTTTCTGACGCAATGAGTCACTGAAAGAATTTTATGGGAATTCCCTTACTTCTAGCAAAAATATCTTAACGGGAAAAGTACCACCAGACAAAAGAGTTTAATATCTTTATAAATATATAAATAATTCACATTCAAAAATGAAAGTGAACGGGCCCATTACATCAACACAATACTCGCTATATATTCTATTTTCATCGCCTAGAGAATTTAACTTTAACATCATTTTTCTCAAAATATGGTTTGGGTGGATTGGATCATTTCTGCATAACTACGTCCAATTTTGTTTAATGAAAAGTTGATTTTCCGTATACAGGGTGGAGCGTAATTGCTTCCTGAATTTTGAACCATTTATTTATTTCAACTTATTTGTTCTTGAAAATTAATTTTCCTTTTAGTAAATTTATTTTCTGTATACAGGGTGGAACATAATTGCTTCCTGAATTTTGAACTGTTTATTAGATTCAACTTATTTGTTTCTGAAAATTAATTTTCCTTTTAGTAAATTTATTTTCCTTATACAGGGTGGAGCATAATTGCTTTCTGAATTTTGAACCATTTATTTATTTCAACTTATTTTTTTTTTAATTAATTTTCCTTTTAGTAAATTTATTTTCTGTTTATAGTGGGAATATAATTATTGTTTCCTGAATTTTGAACCGTTTATATATTTCAACTAATTTGTTTTTGAAAATTATTTTAATTTATGTAAAAAAATATTTTATGTATATAGGGTAGAGCTTAATTTTTTCCTGAAATTTTTGAACCAGTCATTATTTCAATTTATTTTTTTTGGGAATTAATTATACCACTGGTAATCAATTTTAATTTAAGTAAAAATTTATTTTCGGTATACAGGGGGAATCAACATTCCCGTTTAAATATTTGATTTCCTTGTATAACTTAGCCGATTTTTGTGACCGGTGTTCTTGTATTAAGAATTTATTTTCTGTATACCGGGGAAGCCAATACCGGGCCGACGTGTTATTTTATTGAAAATATATATATTTTGTTATTTATCCCTGTTTCTTGTATTACCGGCTCTTGACCGTTTTCTTTGAGGGTACCGTACGGTACAAGGTATAAGGGAGATAAGTGCTTTAATCCTAATTTAGTGGCTACCTTTAGCAGTGACCGCCTGAAAGTTTTTTTTGTACTTCACTGACTTTATCTTGAGTACACTATGGTGTGCTACAGAGTCGCAGAGCAAACTGCGTTACTTAAACTGGCGCCCGATCAACTCATATTCATAATTTGCCATCATAGCGCCATACAGACTTCCTGATTCATTGTAAGTGGAATCGGAAGTATGTCACATTACTTACCTTTGAAAGGACATGAAACTTCTTCGAAAATATGTTTTAGGGCAAACAAACGTTGAATAGTAATTTTTAGTCTTACAATTAACAAAATTTGTTAAAAAAAACATTTAAGACTCGCTGCTATTTAAAATAAAAGAATCACATCAAAAACCCAGGAGAAAGAGTAAGTAATAAAAAAAAAACAGTTCATACTAGCTTCAAAAAAATCTAAACAGTTAGTGTATTGTATCTAATATTCATTTGTTTATCTGAGGTTCCAACGATAACGTGATTTGCAATGTGATTAGTTAAAATGTCAAAATTGCCAGGCGAGGGAAATAATGGCTTATATTTACAAATAAATCGTAAAGTTCTATATCTGTCATAAATCATAGGTTGTGTACTACAATTATCATTTGAAATATATTAAAAGTTTGGACATATTATCAAATAGTGCCTAAATACATATGTTACTGTTTAGTTCACTTATTATTATTTTCTCTTCCTCTTTTTCTGAAACCAGTTATGAAATACTCCGAGCATTTGTGAAGCCTCGGCGTTTTTACCCCTAAGGACTAGCAGAGTCTTTAACCAGCTGTTAAGGAATTATTTCGTTATTTTTTTTAATTTTCTTGTCACAATTTTTTAAAATTATGTGCAGCTTATTAATGCAGATGAGATGTTTATATGTCAGCTGAAAGTGTACGATATAAGGATAAAATAAGAAAGTAAATAAATCACTTTTTTAATATAATTTATTTTGATTTAATTATTGTATACTATTAAGTCGATGTACATAAGCCTTCGTCCAATTCTTTAATTTTTTGAAATAAATATTTGTATAAATATTTCGGCAGATCTTTAGCCACTAGATAATCAATATGATTCCATTTTTTATAAGGCACAACGCGAAAACCACATCTTGTAGAGGAGCTCAGTTGTGAATAGGTATAGTTAGAGCCCTAAAAAATAAAAAACAAAAATATCTTTATAAATATAAATATGATGAACTAAAGAATTAAATCAAATAGGGGAAGGCGGGGCAGATTTGACATAAAAAATTCTCTATCCACCAGTAAATAAAAATTTTTACGGGTTTTTTGTTAAAAAAAAATGGAATAGACAGTTAAAAGAGATAAAAATTTAAAGAGGATGATAAGGATGATAAGGAGGATGATCTTAATTTAACAAGATTATACTGAATTAGGTGATATCGTGTATTTTAGGAAATCTGCCCCATAGTGGGGTACATTTGATTTTGTAAAATATGGAATGGGACAGCTTTGACACATTGTACAATTTGAAAGAAATCTCTTTTAACTGAATATTAATAGAAGCCAACGCTGATATACAGGGTGTCCCATTAGTGCGTAATTACTCGATAAATCAATTTGTGTTACAGACACAAAAAAATTTTAATAAGAGCTCAGATAAAAAAATGAAAAAATAGATACCTAACGGGCGCCGTTTAATATAGGCTTTGTTTGAAGCCAGTATCTACAAACTTTTGACAGCTGTGGTACTGCGGTCTACATGGGCGTATCAAGTAGTTTTTTCATCGGAATCCGAAGGATTATTTTGTAACGGACGGATTTAAAGAAAAATGTAAATCAAACATAAAATTTTATTTTACAAAAAGTAAACTACGCTATTTTTTAATGAAATTATAAGGAAATAACACGTAATGTAATAGCTTTCTATGTGTTCTAACTTAACTCTTTGATAGGTAGCGATATTTGAGTTCGTGTGTAGATTGTCAAATACAAAAATAACAAAAATAGGGATAAAGGCCATTTTTCGGCGCAATCTATTAGGTTAGGGCATATTATTGCTTCGTTTGAGAATCCACATCAGATGCATTTTTTACATCTCGAGCGTTTTTTATCCACATCGGACACATCTGTCCCATTACATTTACGTATACTGAATCACGTGATCAAAGATTTTTTACGTCTCAGATGCATCCGATGTGGATTCTCAAACGCAGCATATATGTTAAAATGGAAGCCTTCCTTCTGGCATTTTGACAATATGGATACAAAAAGTCTTAAGTATAATTACATTAAAGTTTATTAATACTACAGCAGGTTAGGGTAACCATACATACAGCATTTCACTATATTTGCTGCGTTTAAAAAGTAACCTCTTTTTACTCTAAGCCGTTCTTTTATTATATCTGTGGCTTCTCGATAAGATCTGCTCCGTGGTCTCTTAATGCAGAGCTGGTACGTCTGGTAAGATCTATTTACTCCGAATTAAATTTAAGAGAGAAATATTAATAAAAATACTTCAGACAGAAATTAGAACATGGTTTATTTTTTAGTGAAAGCAAAAGGCGAAAAATATCACAGCTGAAAATTCACTTTACTTTGCAACAAACGCCACTATACGAGAGATCAAGTTTGATTTAAAAGAAAGGTTTAAGTGTAGTATTTTAATGAAAACCGAAAACAACCAAATCCATAGCCAGTCTTTTATTTCACATAATTTCGATGATCACGTGACTAAAAAATCTAGCTCTACTCCGCTCCAGGAGGTACTTTTTAAACGTAGAAATTGTACAACCCTTCTTACTGAAATGTAACAAATAAGACAAAAGCGTAATACATATGACTTCTCTGTTGTATTAATCTAAAAAAATAGGTCCACCGGTCCTCGACGTGATTTCTCTGTGAATGGTATCTTTGGAAACCTAAAAAAAGTCTTCGCCTCACCAAAGTTCATCATCAATGTTGTTTTATCCAGCATTGGGCTAAACTAAACATGGTCACCCTACAGTAAGTATACCTACCTATATACTGTTGATTTATGTTTATTCAGAACAAGTGTGATAAACAAGCATACTATTCAATCATTTTCACAAAATTATGTTGAAAAGTTTAGCTAAAAGTAGCTGGTTTACCCTGTTGAATGCCTTGAAAAAGTCCAGTCTCAGTAGGTGATTTGTTTAATCAAATACTAAAAGGATTAACGAAAATAAATTCAGAAATACCATGAGGGCAATAACTTAAGCTTTTACGGAGAATTTAAAGTTTTCGAAAACCCCTCTAACATTTATGTTTCGTATCAATATCACATTTATTACTAAAAACATAAAAACAATTTATTGATTTGATGAGTAAGATAAAATGGAGTAGTTTTACCGTGCAGTTCTAGCCTATGAAGATCCAAACATTAAAAATGTTAATACATACGATTTTTGTTAAACAAGTATAATCACGGGAATTAAAGAATTTAATATAACAATAGCAGTGAGTTATTAATATAATTAATTGTATGAATTAAACTTTTATAGGAAATAGAGGGATATCTTAAAAAAATATAGAAATCAACTAACTAAAATAAATATTGTATACACAACATGATTCTAAAAACAATAATATTAATAAACGGAAAAAGGTATAGGGCAAAGGTCATCAAGGTAGTAATAGTGGACATTTCCCGAAAAAGAAAAATTACAAAAAAAAGGGAATGTGAACAGTAGTCACGTGTTTCTGACTATTGGTCTTCATCGGTACGGTGGCAATACTAACACAACTATAGGAAAGTAGCATTTCAAGAAAATTGCTGTTAAAATTAACTGTGTATGTTTACATAAAGAAGCAAAATAATATTAATTAATACGCCTTAAATTTGGAATAGAATACAATGTCTGGTGAAGTTGTATTTGAATTTTGTATCTTAACTCAAAATTGCGATTTTTTTTGAGTGGCTTTGGGTATTGTGTATTGATGGTGCGATATATTCTTTTTTAATTAGGTACATAACGTAGTATCTACATTAGTATTGAAACATTAATATATCAATACTTAAGTTAAAAAAATTACACAACGGTGTCTGGTGCCGCCTATGTGTTTCATTTACTTACCAATGAAAGGAGGTAGAACCACCCAAAATGTATCTTTTAGAACAAATAATACACTTCTTAGTCATTTTTACCCTTAAAACTAATAAATATCGTTTAAAAAACACACTAGAAACTGAAAAACTTTAATAAGGCGTTCTGGGAATATAATAACACAGAAATTTTAAAATCAAAATTGACAATTCCCAACTGCTTGTTGACAGTTGTGAGAAAATTTTGGCGCTGCTATTTAAAATAGACGAATCACATCGAAGACCATGGAGAAAGAGAAAGTAATAGATAAAACGGATCATACTGGATTCAAACAAATCCAGACCGTTAGGCATCTATTATTCATTTGTTTATCTGAGAATAAGAGTTATTTGGATTTAAACAAAGCGTATTTTAAAAATATTTTTGAATCTTCAGGATGTTGCGCTTTTGTTTGGCAAATAAAAATGTGTATGTTTTAAATTAAACACCCTGTATTGTATTGTCTTTTATTTTAGTTTAAGAATGGTCCAGTGATACTGTATTTAACGGTATAATATTTTAAAAAATATTACAGGGTTGCCAAGAAATTATTTATTTTGTGAAATTTTGGTATACAACTATTAGCAATGATTTTAAAATTGTTTTAAATACAAACTTTTGAGATACCAAGCTAAAGAATAGTGGTGATAAAACTGGTTTATTTTATACTGATTGTCTTAAAATATGTCTTTATTATGGTTAATTTTAAGATCAACTTACTCAATTTTTTCAAATAGAACACCCTGTATATTATTTTAGCATAAACATCCTTATAAATTGATATATCCAACGATAGCAACAGGTTAGCCAATTATACATATACAGGATGTCCCATCAGTGCGTAATTGATCGATAGCTGTTTTATTACTGGAAATACGATAAAAAATTAATTAAAAAATTGTATGACTATATTTAACATTTGAAGACATGAGTGGATGAAGGATATACGTACATTTTATTTTAAATCAATGGTTTTGCATAAATGAAGGGCTTATGTACCTACCTAAGGTTACTTCTATGATCTGTTATGATTTTATTTCAAATAAAGATGTTACCTGGGTATAAAGAACTAATGTCTTATAGTGAACTATTCAAATGAGAAACTTCAATCTCAAATATCTCTAAAGTATGTTTCTGTTACATATACCCTTTATCCACTTACGTCTTCAATTATTATTAAATATACAGGGTCGTCCATAAACTAGGGGATGACCAAACCTATACATATTTAAAACAAAACTCCCTGCAAGTAGTTATACATATTTGATTGTTTTCACATCGCCAAACAAATTTAATAGATTTTATTCATTTGCTATAGGGTGTGTCAAAATGTAAAGTTACAATTTTTTCAATTTTTTTAAAGAAATACCCTGTATGTTATATCACCATATATTTAATACCGGATGTTCCATTTAAAAAATTGAGAAAATCGTAATCTCGGTTTTTGACATGCCCTATATACAGGGTGTTTCATTAAAAAAAACAACACCGACTATGGCATACTTGCGTGAATCACCCTGTACATTTAAATTTATGTTTACATAACGCACAACTCAATTCAAAAGTTGACGTGTCTCGGCATTTTTTACAATTTTCTAAAATAATGACATTAAGAATTTTATTCCATAAGTGGTTTCCACACTGTATATAATTTATTTAACAAAAACCTGACAAAAAAAGTTTATAAATTTCCACCATTTTCCCACATGTTTAGAAAAAGTGATTCTAAGAGTACATATAAAAAGGCTTGAGTGTTGAACATGGTCTTCATATTATTTATACAAAATTTATTTAACAAAATGCTGACAAGAAAATCTATAAATATCCACCATCTTCTCACACAAGCCGTTTGGCATATGCTTGGAATCATTTATAATTCGCCATATAAAAAAATAAAACTAAAACCTAAATATCACCTTAAATCATCTAAATATCGATTCTCAAAGTTATTTTATATTAATTTTATTATAAGAGTTGTCTCGTGGCCGGACTGTTCCACGACTAATTTTATACCTTTTAAATGTTTATTAACTTAACGCCCTTTTAAATGATTGTAAAAATTCAAAAATTTCAGTTGATTAACTA